CGGGTATAGTTAACTCAACAACCCCGTTAGGGTCATTGATCCTAGTTTCGGACACATCACACATCAATACCCAATGTGTCCAAGGTGCATGCGAGTGCAGCCTGTTGACCTGTTTGTTTTAGAGTGCGAACGTTGAATGTTGCCATGGAAAGGGGATAGCGTTTACTTATAAGTGACTTTTGCCGATAGGCTTCCGATAGGTGCTGTGGGATGGCGGCTGCAGTTGATTCTACTCCAGTTGCACTTCGGTTGCTGTCAATTAGGCTGGGAATTATAGAAGGAAGGTTAGTAATGTGGGTCGGAATGGGAGTAAGAGAAACAGGCGGTAATGAAAGAAGGGAGGCACCAGCAGTACAATGTTTTCGCTTATCCCCCCTGCTGTATGCAGCAGATAAGGCGACCCTTGATAATCTGCGCGACGGCCGATGCAGGATGAAGTTTATGTTTGAAGAAAATGTCATGGTTGTATGTGGGCTGAGATACTGCCATGGTGCTCATACCTAGACAGGAGGACGATTGGGGTCCACATCCAAAGCCTTTGGCTCAAAAGCCTATCCGCAAGGCGGCGGGGAGGTGACAATGCTTTAGTTTTACAGAAATGGACGCCATCCTATTTCAAACCCCCAACCTGGAGGACCATGAGACTGAGTTTGTCTGACTTCTCACCACTGACCAACCTGGTAGGTGTAGCTCTCAAAGTGCCAGGGGGCATCACCCAGTATAGTTCAATGGGCCAAGGAGGTACGCAGTAAGGTCGTGTGCGCTGTTGCTGGCGGTATAAGTTTTCAAGGTTGTCTGACAACGGTAACTGTGTACTATTTGGTTCGTCTGGCTGAGTAGGTTCGACATGGAGTGGCTCTGCTGTACTAACAGTATCCGAACTCCGCTGGGAAGTTTCAGGGGCTGTGACTTCTGGTACATCAGGCATTGGAGAGACCGTTTCCTCGACGCCATTTGGGAATCGCACGTGTGCGTACGCCGGCTTACATTTCAACAGTTCCACTTCGTCTACCAATGGTCAATACTTGGAAATTCGCTGGTTCCGTTTTATTAAGACTGGCCCAGGGAAAAGAAGCCAGCGCGGCAAAGATGCTCCAGTAGTTGGCTTTCTGTTATGCATAAACATCCTTTCGTGGGGTGTAGCATTTGTGACCGTGCAGAGCAGTGATCTGATAGAATGTAATGCTTCGGGTAAAACGGACTCTCACTGCCGAATATCCAGTTCTTTGGAACGGAGTGCTAAGGTTATGGACTTCCATAATGTTCCGTTCCGCCGCTCATCCTGTCCGTTTCCTTTGGGATTGTACGGGGTAGTTCGGCTAGTGACGACGCCTTGACCGTGCAGGAAACTTTGCAGTTCGGTGGACAAAAACGAAGAGCCTCTATCGGTATGAATGTAGGATGGTATACCAAAAATAGAAAACAGGTTAACGAGGCATGATAGAACAGTCGAGACTGACATATCGGAGCACGCATAAGCAAAAGGAACCGTGAAAATTCATCAATCATACTCAGTAACTATTTGTTACGGGTGGAGAATGGTAGCGGCCCCTTGAAATCAACACTCGGTCTTTCAAATGGCTGCATGGTTTTATCAGGGGAGTGAGTTTCGGGTTGGACAAATCAAGGTTTTAGTTCAGCACAGGGGCGGCACTGCTGCACGACAGTACGGATTTATTCAACGTAGAACGGTTTTTTGAATGCACAATATGTATCATCCGAGTCAATCCACGGCGGCAAAACGTTGCGTCAAGTTGTTTGGGATCGAGGATGTTCAGCACGCTTATAGAATAGCTGCGTGCTAGTGCGTCGGCCACTGTGTTATCTTCCCCAGGTCTATATACTACATCGTAGTTGTAAGGGGACAACTCTGTGCGCCACCGTAAAGATTTGTCATTCTTGATCTTCCCCCTGTGCTGGGTGTCAAACATGAACGAAACCGAGCGTTGGCCTGTGATACGCTTGAAATGAGTGCCAAGAAGATACTGTTTCCATCTTCTAGTGGCTTCCACGATAGCATACGCCTCTTTCTCGACGATCGAATGGTGTCGCTCGCTGCCAGACAAGGTACGGGAGAAAAAGGCTACCGGTCGGCCGTTTTGGTTTAGGGTGGTGGTAATGACAATGTCCGATGCATCCGTTTCGATGAAAAGTGGTTCATTTGGATCAATTGCAACCACTGCTGCATCGATTAACTTCAGATTTTCGAATGTAGTAACCGCTCCATCCGAGGGTGTTACCGCGGCCCGTCCATAGCACCCATCGAAGCTAGCTCTCTCTCTCTCTCTCTGTCTGGAGCAGCCCGGAGAAGATTGGTGGTATGCCGCCTGTAGCCGATTGGCTAGCCAGTGAGAGTAAGCCAATGGTATCGTTTTACCTTGAACTGGACCAATCAGAATGACCTACCTTGTAGCCCTCCAGTAAGCACACTACTTGCTCAGCCAACAAACGAGTTTTTGCACATCTAGTAGTTGCTATCGTTAGGAACTTTCACTTAGGTCTTTCTCTCATGAACTATTTATTTTGACCACATATTATGCCTGTACATTCTGTCTCCGGAGTGCTCCATACAAGTTCTGCCGGAGGCCTTTGTCTTCTGATTTGGAAGGTGGCTGTAGCGTGATCAGAGTGGCTGCATTGGTTATCCGTACTATCAGCGGAAACAACAGTTTTTGGCGACGCGAGTGGAGTTATTCAAAATGCCAATCTCGGCAGAAGAGCTGAAAGCTATTTTGCTTCAACAGCAGCAGCAATTCGAGGCGGCACAGCTGCGTATGATCGAGACTTTCACTCGAACACTGCCACTCTAGTACACAGCCATCTCTTCGGAGCAAATGCAGGCGCTCCTTCAGGTCCAGCAGTCAATGTTTGAAGAAACACGACGGCAATTGACAGAGATGCTGACACAGAAGTTAACCATTCAAGCAGATTGTGAACTGGAACAAGAAATCACATCAGAGCACATTGCAGGTGAATCTTACAAGCAGCTGAACTCGGGATTAGATACCAAGAAGATTGAAAATGAAAATGACAGATGTGAACTCCAAATCCGCCACACAGCTAATGGAGGGCACAATATGAATCAAAATGTGTCTAAGACAAAGTCCCCCACTGCGATTGTTGCCGCACTCTGCGGGCATCAAAGCGCACCAAGAGGTCCTTTGTCACTAGACAGAGAAATTACCTCCGAACGGAGATGCAAGGGTCTACAACTCTGTGCAACCGTCCAGCTATACAAACCAACAGTTCCCGAAATAGTGACCATTGGGCACGTGAGAGCGAGTTGTACAGCAGCTTTTCGGAAAGGCCTTGCAACAACGATCGGTGACCGGGAGGTTTATGGCTTGGAAAAAACAGTTCTCCTCTCGTTGAACCACTCGCTCTGGGACCCAGGAGGGACCTAATATGCTTTGATCAGTGGCTACAAAAGGGAACGAACTTGAAACTCCGGTGATGCAAAAATCGGATACGGAGGTCCGTGATCAGAATGCAGCTAGACCTCAGGAGGAATTTGTCCGTCACTTTTCGCGAGGGACATCTTACCGCAGCCCGTCCATAGCAGCCATCGAAGCTGGCTCTCTCTCTGACATACTGTCTCTGTCTGTTTGGAGCAGCCCGGAGAAGATTGGATGTACGCCGCCTGTAGCCGATTGGCTAGCCAGTGAGAGTAAACCAATGGTATCGTTTTACCTTGAACTGGACCAATCAGAATGACCTACCTTGTAGCCCTCTAGTAAGCACACTACTTGCTCAGCCAACAAACGAGTTTTTGCACATCTAGTAGTTGCTATCGTCAGGAACTTTCACTTAGGTCTTTCTCTCATGAACTATTTATTTTGACCACATATGCCTGTACATTCTGTTTCCCGGGTTCTCCATATAAGTTCCGCCAGTGGGCTTTGTCTTCTGATTGGGAAGATGGCTGTATCGTGACCAGAGTGGCTGCATCGGTTATCCGTACTATCAGCGGAAACACAACCGGGGGTTAGAAAGATCTGTTGTGGATCAACGGATGAATTTTTATCAGAAAAATGAGAAATCCATTGGGAGTAGTAGGCAAGCATGCCTACAATGCGCTGCTGGGCTTTTAAGTCCTTCGGGGGGTGCATTTCTAGCAGCGCTGCGAATCGTACAAGATCAGGTTTAATCATGCCCAAGGAAATTTGATACCCGAGTAACTGGATGCACTTCGAAGCAAAGGTGCATTTATTAGTATTGAGCGTCAAGCCATACTTGTTTGCCGCTGACAGGAACCATATTAGGTTCTCATCGTGGTCTGAAGAGGTTTTCCCGCAAACCGTCATGTTGTCGACGTATGCAAAAGTTCCGGCGAGCTTTTCTTTACAAATTAACTCGTCCACAGCGCGTTGAAAGCAAATCGCGCCATTCGTGACGCCAAACGGAATTGATAACGGCTGCCGCATGCCTCGAATGCGGTATAGGGTTTGTCACTTTCATTGATGAATATTTGATGGTAGGCGGCCTGAAAATCAAGCGTACTGAAAAATTGATATCGAGCAACTTTCTGCACCATTTCGTCAATCCTTGACATCGGGTAGGCGTCCCGTTGCGTGAACCTAATCGCGGTTTGGTTGTAGTGGATTAACGATCGCTTTTTATGGCGATGATTACAAATGACAAGAACTTAAGCACGCGACGGTGTGTTGGACGGTTCGAGGATATTTTATTCGACTAATCTCTGAATTTCAGAGCGGATGAACCACTCGTCTTCTGAGCGATATCGTCTCGATTTCGTTGCAACCGGGGTGCAATTAGGAGTGCTTGTAAACAGTGAAGGTGCGTCAATACAAGCATCTACGAGTGAGCAAAGCAAAAATGATGGCTGTTCACCATGAAAAGAGGTTTCGAGACCTCTATGCAACTTCAGGAAATCGTGCCCCAAATCTGGAAGTACTGCGAGACGTACGCGCGAGTAGAAGGTTTTCTTGTGCTTCAGAGTGACAAAACGATGACAACAAGTCGTACTTGTGTGCCACGTGGAGACCAAGACGATTTGGTTCTGTGGCGTTTCGATGTGCCACTGATGAAGACTAATGAATCTTTCGGAAACGTAAATTTCAGAACTGCCTGTGTCAACTAGAGCTCGGAGATGTACACCGTTAACGACATCAGTAGTTGCACTTAGCAAACAGTCAAACGCCGCCGCCGCTGCATGTGAGGAGGACAGTATAGACGATGTGTGTTTGTAAGTTCCGCGCGGTTTGCAATCCTTTTGAACATGGCCTTTCTTCCCACATGACTTACATATAGCATCGCGAGACGGGCACAGAGAGCGTGGATGACGTGCATAACCACAGAAGAAACAGTTTGAACAAGTGACAGCAAGCGGAGTAATAGGAGGGGAGCGGTTTCTATGGGCGCACACTGGGCATCGGATGCAATTTCGTACGTGTGGCTGTTAGAGTGGTCAGTAGGCCCACGAAAGGTATCCGATTGTTTCTGTGCCATTTCCAGTATTTTCGCTTGGTCGACTGCCGTCTTCAAGTCCAGTGTCTTATGTTCCAATAACCGCTGGCGTATAGGATGTGATGGAAGTCCACTGATGAAAGCGTCTCGCACCTATTCATCCCTATGTTATTCCGCACTGACGGCCTGGAAGCTGCAGTCCTTAACGAGCGGCTGAAGCTTTTGCAGATACTGTTCCACTGATTGACTGACGTCTTGCTTGCAAGTGGAAACCATGCGACGTGCAAAAACTTCGTTTTTCGGTTGTATGTACAGAGATTCCAGTTTGGCAATGGCAACGTCATATTCCTGGCAATCAGAAATGTGGCGATAAACAGACGGGGCAAGATAGTTAACCAATCTCTTCAGTTTGTCAGGACAGAGGTCGTTAATTGAATCCAGGAAGTTGCTCAAAGTGCGAAGCCATTGGGTCCAAACCTCGGAGGCATCTGGTGAGTTAGGATTGGCGACAAAACGTTCTGGTCGTAGGAAGCGTTTCATTGTCGCTTTGTCGAATGATTAAATTGTAGTAAATAAGAACTCAGACAACGTAGGACGGTTGAGCGAGAAGACAAACAGCCCGTAGATTAGGAGTTAATCATCTGACAGAATACGAGTATGGGCTAAAAGCAAAAAGATGCGCGTGATTAATACTACGAAAAATAATGTGAGCAACATGGTACAAGAAATGCAACGTACTGCAAGAGGCTCGTCACATTCGATCATCACTGCCTTCGCAGCTTAGCTCTTGTCTGGTGGGAGCACCGCGTGTACAATGAGCGTGTTCGGCGTCGCGTATTTGGTGCAGGAAGAGCGAGTGAACCGCTCAGCACCATTATATCACGCACCAAGCTCCGATGGCTGGGCCACGTGTTGCGCAGGCCAGCACACCGACTCCCTCGACGTGCACTGTTTGCGCGTTGTGGGTGCGGTTGGAAGAGGAGGAGGGGATGCCAAGCGATGACTTGGTCGAGGGAAATGAAAACCCTCACTTCGAAGTTGGCGTCGGTTGGTGCATCCCGACTGCCTGGCTGGGGTCCTAAGGATGATGAACACGCTTACTGATATGGCTAGGAGCCGGCCCCAATGGCGTTTGTGTTGTGTGTTTCTTTGTCCATCCCATTCCCTTTAGGTTCCTCCAATCCCGATCTCATACAATACGCATAACATAATATTTAACCTCATATTTTTTGTAGGGTAATTTTTAGCCTCTTTTTGTATTACAACATTAACTGGTGTAATTCTCACCCTCAGCTAACGTGTACTGATGGTGATGATGATGACGATGATTGGTCAATGAAGTAAAAGTTGCCCGTTAACCGTGACAAATGTGCTGTTCTTCCAATCGGTGCTCTTGAGCCATTTGGGGTGGTACCATATCGGGGGTTTCTTGGTCAGAAATGTCAACCAGGAGAGGGATCTCTGAGTGATTGTTTCTCCTGATCTCAAATCAATCGAGGACACCCTGAAGAGGGTCGCTGCTACCTGCAGAATGTTTCACGCTATACGAAGAGCCTTCTCACGCCTGGCCCCAGCACTCTTCAGACTATTGTTTGCTTCGCATGTGCGCCCAATTCTCGTCTATGGATTGACTGCTGCGTATCCTCTCACTAAGTCCGAACATGACATGATCGGGAAGGTACAACGGCATGCATCCAAATTCGTTGCGGGACTTATCTCCTACGGTTTCAACGGTTGAACCTGTTCCCTTTGGATTATCGTAGTCTTCGCGGAGATATGATATTCACTCGACATATTTTAAGAGGTGAATTGGGGAGTGAGCTGCAACCGTTCTTTCGTCTCAACACAGAGTGCAACTCGAGGCCTCTGTTAAAAATTTTTTAACCCGCGGCGACTCCTTGTGCGGTCTGATCTGGCTCTATCCACCAAGATAGTGAATGACTGAAACAGCTTACTGCTGGCCGTCGTCTATGCGAAAACAGAGGAACCTTCCGAACGACTGTTGGATTCCCACTCTCTGAACGCGCGTGGATTTTGCTGCTGCAGCGGTTCTCTGCGGAACCTTGTTCCGCAATGATCGGAAAGTGACGGAGCTGACGAAGGAACTTCCTTCTGCTCTCTACCAACCAATAAACCAATGAAGAAACCCCACAGCATATTTTCGGCCTATATGGATTTCGTTATTTACGTACTTCGTGTCATACTGAACGAGTTTTTAGCTGAAATATTGTGGAAAAGTGTTTGAATAAACACTTGAAACGAAATTTGACTATTGTCAAAGTTTCTCTGATCTAAGATATCTTGGATCGATTAAACTGGTACTGGCCAAAGCCCCTTTGGCGGCTACCGGTAATTTTTCCCGTTGTTCCCATTTTTAATTCCCTTTTGCACCCTGTTTTTTATCGTGGTCTTTTTGTTGTTGTATGTGTTGTAATTCCGCTCTGTTTTCCACATAACCGTGACTGTCTCACTCAACACCGAGGCGGATGCACCTCTGGGGTTTTCGTTTGATGAATCTAATGCAGGTTGCAAACAGTCTGTCTGTTCAGTGCCAGTCAGATTTATCTGGCGGTATGCAGTGTGACGTTTGCTGTCCCTGGTATCATGAAAATTGTACCAGCATACCTGCAGACCAGTACAAAATGCTGTCATCCAGCGTGAACTTCCTTTTCAGCTGCGCTGGCGTCAAGGTCGACGGGTGTTGAGAAGGCGATAGCCGAGCTCGCCCCTAATGACTCACTTAATGCCAAAATGGATTTCATTTTGAAATCCCTAAATAGTGCGATTGAGGACACTGCAGTAGACTGCACCACTGCTAACATTCCATCCGCTGGTGTCTGTCACTTTGTCAAGGAGTCGCAATCCTACCAGACACTCCAGGTGGCATTGCTGATTCTCCTTACGAGCCTGTCAGAGTGATGGAAAATTGGGTGCGGAAATATTACAAGCCCTCTGCTAAACTCAGAGAAATAGTTGCCATGGCATCGGTAATGCTGCAGTCTTCGTAAAGTCATCTGACGGTTGTGCACAGGAGGACATTCCGAAGATGCTGACTGTCTCGGCTGCCACTGAAGCCGTCCCTTCTGACGATATGTTGGAACTGCTCCATGCCACACAAGCTCAACAGCCCCTGCTCCCGTGAGCCACAAGAAGAAGCCTACTAGATCTGCCCGTAACACTTCGCAGAGGCTTGCAGACCCAGGAAATAGTAAGGTGCAGGCCATAGAGCGGAAAATCTACACTACCGTTGCTTCGACGTCGTTTGCGGAGATAGAGACAATCCCACCGCCAGTGGTGAAAACACCTGCTGCAAGTATCGAATCCAAGGCACGGATGGTAGCGTTATATTCCATAACGTTACTGAATCTGCGACTGCTCTCCAAAGGGAACGCAATTTGAATGACATCAAATAGCTCAAACTCTGCGTTACCAAGTTGCTTCCACCTGGCTTCCTTGGTGTCACTGTCAGAAAGCTGACTAGATTGGGAACGTCCCTATCGGTACGGCAAATCCGCAACTCCGACTACTTCGCGTGGTTCTTTCTACCCTCGGAGGAACGCAAAGCATTACTGCGGTTTGCATTGAAACTGAAGGATAGTGGTGTCAGCGTTCAGCCAGACCTTCCACTGGCAGATAGATTGAAGTTGAAGGAGACTATCAAAGACCTCAAAACTGGACGGGCGGCTGGTGAGCAAGGCCTCCGTCTCGTGGGTTTTCAGGTGGTCAGCCGGGTGTTATTTTCCGCCCTATCAGAACCCATCCTGATGGCGCACGACCCAGGGATGGTCATGCTGACTTTCTTGAAATAGTACTCAGTAACGTGCGTAGCCTAAGGAACAAGGTGCACGAGTTGGGTCTACTTGTAAACAAATCTCGTCCCGAGACACTTGCTTTCACTGAAACGTGGTTGTCTCCGCATATCACGGACGGTGAGGTATGTTTACCTGGCTACGCACTGCTTAGAACTGATCACTCCGTTGGTCGTCAAGGCGGAGGCGTTGTACTGTATGTGAGCTGTAATTTAGATGTGTTGAAGATCTGCACATTCCAATCGTCGGATCAGACTGATGAAGCCCTGTCGGTTCTTATATGAACTTCTTTGCCTAGTTTATAGTTGTAGTAATATACAGGAGTTCTGAAAGTTCCTCCAGGGGATATTTGACATTATTCACACTCAGTCCGTGAATAAATGTTTAGTTATTGGAGATTTCAACCTCCCGGAATTCTGTTTGGCCGATCTTTCTTGCAATTCGGCGTCAGGAACATTCGGTGCAGACTTTTTTGAGCTGACTCTCCAAGTGCCTTTGCACCAGTTCGTGGACTTCCCCATTAGGTATATGGACAACCAAATAATATCTACTTTAGATCTGGTTTTCGCTAAGTCCTTCGAATTCGTGACTTACCTTTCGTACGGTGCGCCTATGGGGTCCAACGATCACGCATGCCTATACTTCCGGTGTGCTCTTTAAGGCACCAACAGACCGCCGTTGAATTACTTCTGTCTATTTGGCGGGCTGACTTTAGTGCAATGCGAGCTAACGCTTCATTTCTGAACTCTGTGATCCCGATGCCCGACTCTGTCCAGTTAGCCCGGGATAAATTTAAGGCATGCTTTACGGAGGTTTCCACTCCCTATATTTCCATCATGAGGAAATGATGGTTACAGGCACAGCGTCCATAGATAGATACCACAGGCAAGTACCTACTCAAAATCGGTCTAGATGCTGGCGAGCCTACCAAGCAGCTCCATCAGTCAGTGCCTACAACAGTTATCGCGAGATTAGAAATAAATGTACGCAACATATCAGGACTGCTCGTCTCCAATACGAGCAAGGTTTAGTCGATTCGGCCGCACGAAGTTTTTTGCTTACGTTAAAAGACGCAGCGGGGCAAAACTGTCTATACCAGCGTTATTGCGAGCAGACGGGACCCGTGCGTAAACTGACTATGACAAGGTTTGTATAATTAGTGAACAGTATACTGGGGTCTTTGCTTGGAAGATGTTTCTACCATAAGTTGGATTGGCTTCAAGATTTCCAGAGGATTCTTGCTTAGCTGAGTTTAACCTAACGGAGACTCAGGTCTTCGCGCTACTGCAGGGCGTTAATATTTCTAAAACTTCCGCTTTTGATTCACTTCATCCGAAACTGGTGCATGAATTGGCCGCTGAGCTGAGTGGTTCTATCACATAGGTGTTTTCAATATCGCTTTACAGCTGCGTCCTACCTTCAGAATGGAAAGAGGTAATCATCTGTCCGATTTTTAAGGACAGTGACAGCGTTCTACCCGCGAGCTACCGGCCTGTCAGTTTGACAAGCGTAGTAGTCAAGTTGTTTGAAAAACTGATAAGGGATTCGGTGGAGAACCACTTGTATAGATGTAACCTTCTCAGTGTTGCGCAACATTGATTCCGCAAGGGATTTTCGTGTCGGACTAATCTATTTGTAGCTCGTGAAAGCTGGGCCGAAGCGGTAGACAGTGGCCACACTGTAGACGTGCTGTTTGTGGGCTTTTCGGGAGCTTTTGACAGTGTTCCTCATTTTAGACTCTCACTAAAGTTGATATCTTACGGGCTATCTGGTTGCACCCTTAAATGGGTGTCTGCCTTCCTTGAGGGGAGGGAACAGTGCGTACGGGTGGGGCGTAGCCTTTCGCTCAGTCAAGCTGTCCTTATTGAGGTCCCGTAGGGCTCCTCGGTATTGGGACCATTGTTGTTCGCGATCTATGTAAATGACTTGCCATCAGTAATGTTTGCTGACGATCTTAAGCTCTGGAATATTGTGGATATCCCGGGGGGTCCTGAGGCAATTCAGGGTGCTTTGGATAGGCTCTAGCAATGGTCGACCTTATGATTGATGCCATAAATAGGGCCAGGTTCTGTGTTCTCTGAATCGGAGCTGTTAGTCCTCCCACCCGATATGTTGTCTGCGGTGGTGAAATCCCTGTTGTCACTCGGCAGGTTAATTTAGGATATTGTTTCTCTCCGGCCAATGAGTGGCGAAGACCCGTATTCAGTCAATAACTTTCCTTGTTTTAAATTGACAATAGCCTTGTTGAGCTCTAGGAAACCTGCTCCCAATATGGTTTGTTTTGCATATGACGACACGATGAAGACGTTCGTTAGTTTCCGTCCCCTGATTCCCACGATGTGTTCGGCCATACCGTCAATGCCAACTGAGTACCCGCCAACAGCTCTTACGACCATGGAGCACGATTGAAGCTTTTCGCCCCGCCGATCGTTGATCAGCGACACTGCGGCACCTGTACCGATCACACATCGTTCCGTCTACTTCCACGTTCGCTTCAATCGCCCCCCTACTCAGCGCTCCGAGCACACATTCCTCGATCTGAGAAGAAAAACAAACTTGAATGCGTGTATTTGGTGCACGGGCAGCAGCGCGCCTCACCGGACATTGTCTTTCCCAGTGTCCCGGTTTCTCGCATAGGAATCTACATCCTCTAAGTGCGAAGCCCATTACCATCTTGCACGATCTGTTCCATCATCCGTTCCAATTTATCTAATCGTTCCACGCCTCCATGGTGTCCCTCCTTTATCACACTAAGTGGCTCATCGCCCAGCTCTCGAGTAACCTGCGCCAATTCCTCCAGCCGCATTCGCCGAGTAGCGTTCGCAACCCGGACGCGTTCCGCGATTGGTTGTGGGTGACCAGTCATGAACTGATCCACCAGTAATTGCTATTTTGACTGTTCGTTCATTCCTGGGAAGGCCCAGTCCAACAACATCCTGATGTGAACTGCAAACGCGAGGTGATCCGCCCCTGCACCAAGCATGCCCCTTTGAACAGCCACATCGCCCCCTGGCGGTCACTTGGACTGTTCAATCCGGACACCAACGCATCCTTCGCGACGGCCCACTCCAACTTGACAGGGCTTCTTGGCGCCGGCTCCAGGACTGCCTTCCCCATGACCTTGAGGAGACTCCACAGGATCACCAGGTTCGCGTGGTCGGTCTTGACTCCAACCGCCTTCGTCACATTCTCGAAGTCCTCACATCCCCTTCAAACGGCTCCGACCAGGGGATTTTATGATGCACCTTGGTTGGTCACGGCACTAATGTGATGCAAGCGGAATTGTTTATTGTTTCAAGCATAGCTTATACTAGGTGCATCCGTTCCGATAAACGAGATATCCACTCATATTTGCAGTCCCTGTTGGAGGTTACATGGCGCGGGTTTCTTTCTGTTTCTAGGGGTTGTGTGGTGTACATTACTTATGCATCCATTCCTCATGCGTATACAACTGCGGTTCCAAAGTATTCCTTTCCTTTGGGTTAGTCATTACGGCTTGCTGTTAGCTGATTGCTTTTTTGCATCCTTGCACTTCCATACTACGGATAACTGGCGTAGTAGTATCTGTCTTTGGTTTACCACAGACTGACTGATCAGATAGTCGCGAAGTTCACCACGAAATCGAAGGCACCTTTGATGTTGAGGAACACGAATACAGTGCGTCGCCCATAAACGTGACAGTGCTCTGGCAACTGACCTTATGTGGAGGTGTGATCGATACAGCCCCGATTTTAACGAAATCTGGCTTGTGCCTCGCGAATCTGATCTCCATGCATTTCATCTAGTCTCTGGAGAACGACATAAGCAGGTAACATGTAGGAGATAAAATCGGACTGATCCTTCAATGGTTTCTGTATTCCGAGCGTGCGCCTCCCTTGATACTTGGTACCCGTCTGTTGGGACAGTCTTCTGCCCTAACTGCTTCACTGGTACATTGTACAAACCAAATACAAGAGCAGGTCTCCCGAACTTGAACAGGGTTATACTTGACCCATCTGCTCTTGCGACTTTATTCAATTTCAACGGTCGAATCTCACGTTCGATTTTTGCATGTGAAGGCGGATACTTAGGGACAGCCCAGGCAGATTGGCGATTCCTGGCCGATAAAAAGGCTGATAATTTTTGCTACCTTTCAGTCTGTTCACCCAACGCTCCAGACGTTTGGACAAGCTGTGGACCGGCTGTCCACTCTCATCGCGTATGGTCACGTTAACACCAGGTCGCCTGCTACCCGTTTTCCGTATCAGACGGAATAACTTACGATGCTTAATAAAGGCAGCAGCTGTTTTCATCTCCGAGGCGAGATGAGACCACCAGTCTTCACATTCTCTCTCCAAGCTTGCACGCAGTTTTGCCCTGAGATCTTTGCGAGTCTCCTATTCGCTCCAAGCCTGAGTGTGTCGGCGAGTACCCAGCAGTTCTAGGGATGCATGCAGTGCTATTGTATGTAGTGACTCATATTTTGTGGGAATACTCTGTGGGTACTATTCATGTCCTCTAGCTGGTACTTCTACTGCACTGGTTCATTTGTTGGAATCATGCGTCTGCGCTGATCGAACCATTTTCTTCGTGTACCTGCCCATTGTTTTACTTTTATATGCTGCTTACCGATATCGAGTCTAATTTGATGAGACATTGGAACTGCTTATCATCTATCGGGTACTAATACAACGTGACGTCAGAATAATCAACTCGAATCGGTGCTTTTCCTCTTAGCTGATGATCTTGGTGTAGCCAATTTGGAGGCTATTGGTTAGTACCAGACATGGCCCATTCGCGAAAGCAGCGCAATTTTTGAATTCAGTGTTTCGCATAGAGCTATCACTTTCCCCTTTCTGTTTACTTTTTGTTTTCATCTTCACGTCTCCTTCCTCTGTACTGTTCGCCAGTTGGCCCATGAATGGTGTCATTCAGCTGTGATTTTAGTGGAAGTGATCATTCTATTTGCCTTACCATTCAGAGAGAGACCCCTCTGACTAATGGTGGATGGATTTAGGAAGTAAATCGCAGTTTTCCTGGCTTCATAAGGTGCATTATTTTTGTCCAACGGCTTTGTTCAAATCCTAAGTGGTAAATTTCTCGACAAAGCGAGACTCAGTGGTCTGATCAAGATGGTACAAAGAGATCACAAAACAGGTGGCTGAACCATTTTCAGCACTGTTCATAAGCAAATTTAGAGTAAACTGAAGTTAAATGTATTGAGAAAAATAACAAATGGAGACTTGGCCAAATTTTCTAGTGATATAATACGGCTATCCGTGTAACTTTTGATGCAGTACGGCTGATTAACCGACGTAAGCTGATCCTTTGAACTATTCCGTTTATTTCGGGCAAGGAAACTTTCTTATGGTCTCTTGTTCAGTTATGGAAGAAGCCTTCCTAGCAATTGTTGTAATGGACGAAACTAACCTCATGCAGGCATTTCCCTTCACGAATTTCAATAAAGCAAGAAGAAACAACATTATAACAGAATTTACTGAATTCAGTAATTTCGCGTATTCTCCTCAGCTGTTTACATACAATGAGTGGAAAACAGTGCGATGTTAACAGCAAAAAATTCAAAGCGGTCGAAGGTCTTTAGGCTCACGTGACCTGTTCCGAGGAAAACGCAATCGCTAGCCTCACCAGGGTAGGGCTAGCGTGGTCACGAAATCCGTTTGCTTGCATAGCTTTGGCTTCAGCCGCCGAATTGCTGCCGCCTCCGCAAACTGTAGTAAACGGGGATTAGCCTGTTTGCTAACTACCCTGAAATTGCCACGTGGGTTCTGGCATTCAGGGCAGTCTAGGATGTGGCGGGCAATAGAGCTAGTTGGTAGCTTCGGACCCTTAGCAATCATGTTTCGCGGAACATGCTCTGCAATCCTCGCTGACAGCCTTCTCTCAGTTCGGCCTACGTACTTGCTACCGCAAGTACAATTAAAGAGGTAAATGCAAGAGGCGGTAACTTGAGAGTCTGGTCTGTCCAGGTTGGATTTACAGAGCAGCCTTCTGACTTGATGCAATACCACTAGCTCAGCCGCATGGTAACACTTCTTAATCGATTGACGGAGGCGATGCCTGCATCTTCGGTCAAATTGATCTCCTTTGAAGGGCAGTGTAATGAATACTTTTTTCTTTGGGACATCGGTTGGTGGTTTATCTCCGGATCGTATTTTCGCGTGCCGAGTTATAAATCGCGCTGGATACCCATTCTCTTGTAGCGTCAAGGTGACTCGTTCTAGTTCATGTTCGATTGTGTCTAATGAGCAAATTTGGCGAGCTCTAGCAAAAGTGGTACGTACTAGAGCTCGTTTATAGTTCATTGGGCAAAAGCTATTAAAGTTCAAGTATTGTCTCGTCCATGTTGGTTTTCTGTACACAGATCGAACGAGTGTACCATCTGGCTTTCTCTGTAAGTTAACATCCTAGAAGTGGAAAGATCCGTCGGATTCGTTTTCCATTGTGAAATTGATGGCTGGATGGCACATATTCATCAGTTTCAATAAGTGCGCCGCCTGTTCAGGTGTGTCAACGACGATGAATGTGTCGTCTACATACCGGCAATAAAGGTGTACATTTTGTAGGTAAGAAGCTAACACAGTGTTTTCCAAGTTTCCGAGGAAGATATCAGCCAAAACTGGGCCCAGTGGGCTGCCCATGGCCACGCCGTCGATTTGTCGATACAGGGTTCCATTGAACCGGAACTGAATATCTTTTGTGCATAGGCGCAGTAATGATTTTAGCTGGAGCGCTGGGAACCCAACTTTATCAGCGTGTCTGGCTATTATATCTCGTGTTTCTTCCAAAGGTACTTTCGTGAACAATGATGATACATCGAAAGAAACCATATGTTTTCCCTTTACATTCAAATTACTTATCTCGTTGACAAATTCAAAAGTGTCTCTTAGACTGTAGCTCGTCAGTTCCCTCCGGATGGGCTCAATAAGTTTTGCTAGCCATCGCGCTAATTTTTGGTATGGTGTATCTACCATTGAGACGATTGGACGTATTGGGACACCCTCCTTATGAGTTTTCGGTAAGCCATACATGTGGGGAAGTCGCGATCCCCGGGGGCGTAACTGAGTCATAGTTTTGGCATCCATCAATCCGGCCTTCACTAACTTCTTCAATTCACAGACTATTAACTTCTCTATCTGCTCAGTTTTGTCTCGGTTTGTTACATCCTGAACGTACTTGCGGTAGCAAGTACGTAGGCCGACCTGAGAGAAGGCTGTCAGCGAGGATTGCAGAGCATGTTCCGCGAAACATGATTGCTAAGGGTCCGAAGCTACCAACTAGCTCTATTGCCCGCCACATCCTAGACTGCCCTGAATGCCAGAACCCACGTGGCAATTTCAGGGTAGTTAGTAAACAGGCTAATCCCCGTTTACTACAGTTTGCGGAGGCGGCAGCAATTCGGCGGCTGAAGCCAAAGCTATGCAAGCAAACGGATTTCGTGACCACGCTATCCCTACCCTGGTGAGGCTAGCGATTGCGTTTTCCTCGGAACAGGTCACCTGAGCCTAAAAACCTTCGACCGCATTGAATATTTGCTGTTAACATCGCACTGTTTTCCACTCATTGTATGTAAACAGCTGAGGAGAATACGCGAAATTACTGAATGCAGTAAATTCTGTTATAATGTTGTTTCTTCTTGCTTTATTGAGACTAACCTCATTTTGCAATGCTGCAAACCAATCCACTCGGTTCCATTTCTTCATCTGGACTATTCATTTTATGTATATGCCCGCTTTGATAACGCTAGAACGCATTCAAAGGTGTTTGCATTGCTCGCTACAGACAGATATACCTTTAGAGCTCGGGGATATCCACTATCAAGCACATGAAACTGCGCATTATCTTGGCAGCACTTCATCGTCATTCGCCTTTGAGGAGACCCCGCCTTCCACACTTGTAATTTTTTACTTTACTAACTCTTCCCTACTGTTTCTCTGCGCGTCTGTTCCGTTTATGGTTTGTGCGTAGACAGGCAGCGGATCCAACCGGCTTAATTCACATCGCCATAATGAGTCTCAACAAACGGTGGTTAGGACAAAAAAACAAACTTGAATCGATCGGACGAGAGGTTTATTTCTCTTTCGATGTGGAGAGGCAGCTTGCTTACTTCGTCGCATGTCGCACTGGCCCATCACAATCTAGAAACTGACCCACGTTGATCTTGCTGCAAAAACACCCAGTCGGTTGCACTTGTATGAACGCTGAATTATTTTGCACAATACTGAAGCTATGGCGACGTGTGTAATGTCTTTTTTCAAATACTGCTGTCCACCTGAGTTTGTGTTAACGAAGCTTACTTTGTGTTTGCTAGTTTTAACCACAACTATATTTTTTGTTCGCTTGCAATCAGCTGACCTCACACCAACTCTCCCGAACGCGCTTAAGTGATATCGGTCAATAATCTATTATTGTTTCATCAGATAGGAGGTATAAATGCGGTTTTTATTCGCTCCACCGCTGTTTCAACTGTCTGGGCATGTGACCACCGCCTGGTTCCAAACCATACGTACCTCGCCTTCTTTCTTTTATTCAGATCGCACAGCGCAAACGTTTTGCTGCTCTCCCTGGGCTTATATGGAATTGAGCGTAGATGTTTGTGGAGATTGCACTGCTCCTTCCCCCCAGTGGGCTTCGGTCAATCGTGGTGTTTTTCTGTGCGACGAATGCGCTTCCATCCATCGACAGTTGGGAAGGCACATCAGCCAAGTGAGCGATTTATTGTCTCCTCTCATCCACTAAACCCTTAGGTGAAACATTTGAAAAAATCCTGCTGGCGCCCCACCCAGTTGGAGATGGTTCGCTATCTGGCTGCGGCGCACGTCAATCGCTATTGGGAACACGTGCTTTACGAACACATGCTTGCTGGTCAACACCTCACACGAAGTGCATCCGGTAGTGGTAGACAACCTAAAACACTGGCCAGAAAACCCAAACCGACCGATCCACTGCACCCGATCAAAGCGGATTTCATTCGTGAGAAGTACTTATTCATGGGATTTTTCAAAAAGCCTCGCAGTGTGAATCAGGAGGATTTGGACCAGCAGTTACATGCCAGTGTACGGACCGATGTGTTGGAAAAGAGTTTACACCTGCTCATATCTGTAAGGAAACGGTATTCTGTACCCTTTATCCAGTATTCGTTTTTACCAGCATTCTTTTTTCGCACCTCAATTGAGATGTTTTGACGACATCGTCGTCGCTTTTCTCCATCTTCTTGTTTGTATCCTGCCCTTCTGTAAAATGTCTATACTGTTCAAGTGTGGAGAGCCGTGTGAAGATAGGATCTAATGTTAAACCTAACTATTCCTAAATAACCACTCCTGATTAAGACGCCTATACTTCGCCAGCATCAAATAGTTAAAATCTCTTAGCTCTTGTGTAAAGATCTTGCGGCACCGATGAGACCTCTTCCTTGCGCCATGTGACAATATGTTGCATACAGGAACAATTTATGTACTTCAAATAGCTGGTCCTGGGAAACGAAGACGGTAAAAAAAATAATGCCGCCATTGGGATCCATTCCCAGTAAGGCGTTCGATAAGGTCAGCCATGAGGTCCTCCTTCACAAACTCTGGATGTGCGGTGTCGGTGGCTCACTGCACCGGTGTATTCACGACTTGCTTGTTGGACGAAAGTGGAGGGTACAGGTCGACGACCATCTAACTGACTTGTATCCCTCTACAAGTGGCGTGCCTCAAGACACTGTGCTGGGGCCCACTCTGTTTCTGATCCACATCAACGATCTACCTCAACTTCTACGGTCGCCGTATGCCTTGTTTGCGAACGACATGAAGATTTGGAGAGAAATTGACGCTCCTGACGAATGTGGCGTACTTCAGCAAGACCTCAACCGCCTATCCACATGGTCTGCACAAGTTCATCTCCCGGTCAACCCAGCCAAGTCTGTATTTATGAGTCTGGGGAAGGGTGCTGACGGCCGAACGTACATCCTTGACGGCTAACCGCTATATCCCACACCCTCCGTGTAGGACCTATGTGTAATCTCGCGCTACGATTTGAAGTCCGTGGACAATACGAACAGGCTGTATCGCAACGGATTGCGCATGATTTGGGCGCTCAAACGTAGCTTCGGCACGTGGTCTGAAGAGGTTGCCACTCGCCTTTTCTCTTCCATCATTAAACCAATGCCAGAGTACGGTTCACCTGCCCACTTTCCGATTACCCGAGCCGAGGCACAAAAGATCCAACGGATCCAACAGATTGCTACCAGGCTCATCCCGAGTTTACGTGGCTTGGGGTATGAAGACCGGTGCGAGAAACTGGGACTCTACACCTTGTCTTTCCGTCGAGTGCGAGTCGACCTCATTATGACCTACCGTACTCTACATCTCGGTGACTTCCCCATGCTGAGGCCAATGCTGCAGTTACGAGGGCCATGCAGCACACGCGGACACAGATACAAACTTGCGGTGCCAGATGTGAAGCGTTTCCCACCCACTGTGCTTCAAACGGAGATTGGTAAATATTTGGAACAGTTTGCCTGAACATTTTATGGAGGCAACATCGGTGCTGCAATTCAAAACGTTGTTAGGTTTATATTTTACCACTATTCGATTCCGAGCACGATTGTACACTTACGATAACATCTCACATTTGTGAGTCCTGCAATACCGTGAGTCAGATATTTTTCATGTTACATGAGAACGATAACGATATTCACGGGTGACAATATTTTAACGTTTCTTATTACATATCGAAAGAGTTATACAGAATTCCTACTAGCTCTATAATACAGTATTCAGAGTTTAGATTGGATCATGGGGACCCACGCATGGCACACACGGAACGGACCACCAACACTAAATCTACTAGTTTGCAATTTCATCTCCTATAACTCAGTCTAAGCTTGTCCCCCTCAAATCTCACACTATCCCGGATTCGATAGCCAAAAGAAAAACTTGGGAATGCTTTGAATGAATGTTTTGGTTCGAGTGGTTGTTTTGACTACACATTGGTTTTGGTGACTGAAAGTAAAACAACAGTTCGATGAACCGTTTATCAATGTCACAATGACAACGATGGTTTATGTTCCTCACGGTTGACGCGCCTAACTCGACCAGCTTCGATTTTCGAGAATGAACTTGAGTAATCATATTCTAATATTTACCGTTTGTTTAGTGAGGTGTCTGAGTTAACTGGCTTTGATACTTATTTCCTTAATCTAACACATCTGCTGATAGAAAGGCAAAATCGAAGAGTCTTCGGCCTTCCTGTACACTCTCAGTACCTCTCCCCTCAGTTCTTAGCTTCGGTTCTAGTGTTTCCCTTCTCATTTACGTTTTCCGACTTTGTACATGGCTTCTCGCTATCCGTTTCTATATGATATTAACGATAGATTCGATGCTCATTCAAACCTACCTCGCTTTTTTCCATCATGCTCGCTAAACTTGATCGCATTGCCCAATTCTAATTTCAGGGCGCCAACCCTAACTTTATACATCCCACCAAGGGCACCTCTCCATTACATGTTGCGTGCTATTATGGTCGAAATGGCCAAGTGGAGGTTCTCTTGGCCTACGGTGCCGATTTGTGCGTCCGAGACGCTGCCGGTCAGACGCCGATAGACGTGAGTCGGCCCTTTATTACCATTATGTGGCGCCTTACGTTTGTGTTATTCAGGGAGGCACGATTATCATTTATTGTACACATCTGACGTGTCATTAATAATATTTATCTCCCGGAACACCTAATGAGCAGATGGGTCAGTCGGTGGACGCTGGTTTATTACCTGTTCTACATCTTGCACTCGAGACATTCCTTCTGGCGCCTCATGGAACGGCTAGACAGGCGATTCTTTATTCCTCTTACTGCTCAGTCCTCCTTCGGCACTCCGTCGGTCGTTTGACCCTTTACACTGCACTAGAACATCTGTTCGAATTATCTTTTCCCCTGAAGCTGTGTCTCGTTCGGGAGAGGGGTCCACGAACCATCTGGCCAGGAACTTAGCCGAAGTATTCAATTCCAGTCGCAGTGGACCCTCTGTGGACTATGACCACCTAACCTACCATACCCACTGTTGGAGATCCCATTTGGCGTGGCATAGTCGAACAGAACTTGATTCCCTTAAACTCATCCTGTCGTTTTATTCTTTGCAATTTTTTATGAACTTTCGATCGGTCGTTGTTAACAAACTGAACTATAACTGGCTCAATTGAAATCCATAGTTGTACATCAAACGGCCCGGACAGGGCCACTATGGATCGCCGCGGGTTGATAGCTGACTATGGTGCGCGTACCGTTGATCTTCACTGAACAGTCTCTTCCCTCTAACTGACCTTCCATCCTCTCATGATTTGGCGTTATTTTTACTTTGTGGATTTTTCTTCCTACATGCCATTTTGCACTGTAATTGGGCAAACAAATAAACCTTGTTTAAGAGAATCATCAAGGTGCCTTGAAATGTTTAGATGTACTGACGGACTAGCTGTACTGCCGCCCTGGAATGTACGAAACTATGCTTGCCATCAACGGCCCAGCATATCAACAATCTCTCAACTCACAATTGTTGCTTATTCCTCGAGGGTGGGCAACAATTCACCTACTTCTCATGTATCGACCGTCGTCCCCACGGTCGCGTGTTTTAGTGTACCGTAGACGCTGACAGCATCTGATTCTGAGACGTTACCGCTGCAACAGATGGCGATGGTCGTCTGGCAACACAGCCAACAGCTGCACGCGCCATGAGGTTCATTGTGTGCGATTGGCTTATTTGTCTTTCGGTCGCATTAATTTAGACAGACGTTACAAATTGGTGACTATTCCGCTCGATACTGACCATTATTCCGTGTTTGCGTTCAATTCGCATGTCCCAAATGGCAGTACAACTGCTACAGACCACGACAGAATAAACGAGCTATGGACAATGTGATTCCACTCGACCGATCTCCAAGACTAACTTCTGTTAGTATTCGTGGTTTCCACTTGGCTCTTCAGTCGCTCCTCGACCTATTCCGCTCAAACCAACCATCGCTGGAGTCAGCCACACAGTTAACGCATGTGTTTCGTTCAGAACCAAGCGGTAAATAACCATTCAACTCGAACTGTAGTGACAATTGTAGGCCAACTTTTGTAGTTTTGTCACTAAACGCTCCTGACAAAGACTGACTTTCGTCAAGGCTACCAAATTTCCCCATTTTTGTTCAGTTGCTCCGGGAATTCCACCACGGAGTGTTCCCTTGCCGGGAATCTCACGACACGGGTGCTGTCTGGCGAAAGGCTTATCAACCACGGACATGCAAAAGCGTTGCGTGTTTGTGCTTGATAAGAATGCACGAAGTGGTGGCATCATCTCACAGACTACGTCTTCTGATTTTCACGCTCAAAATAACTTTTGTCCTAATTGTGAATACTTGTGTCACACACAACCAAAACGCAGCTATCTCACCATACTAATCTCCCATGGTATGATGTCCTTTGACTGTTATTTGGCATACATATGGCTTTGCACGGTTACTGCTGTTGGACGTTGCTTGTCCAATTCCGTTAGGAAAATGTGATTCGGGTCCAGTGCTCACAATTCGCGTTGCTTTTCCAAGCACACCTATTTTTCCGCATGCCTAACCTTTACTTCCCGCTCGATGTACTAAATATGGCTGCACACTTGACGTGAATACCGACAAGTCAACTAGCTGTATGTGATAACAACGTATCAGTTTATTGTCCCCACAAAAATCATACTCGTTACTGGGGTAAACTAGTTGCATGATCTTCGGAGCAGTCTGAAATTTTATCCTGAAACGGATAACTGCTCAACCACTGCCAAGCACACGCTATCGCAATGAGGCTGGACCTTACCGTGGTGCGATGGTCTAGGCGCCTCAGTGATCCATTGAGCTGTCCTGGGTGGTGCATTTTACGCCTTCATAGCCACTCATAACAGATCGGTCAATGGTTAGAGGCCAGAAAAACTCAACCTCCTGGTCCTCTAAGTTGGGGGTTGGTGTGAGGGTAGTTCCATATTCCTTACAACGGACTCCTTGTAGCCCACTGCCAAACCTAATCATTCTCCTATATAGACCTGTGCAACCGGACAGTCTCCTGCCCACGCAATACTATGAAACTCCCTACTCAATCTCATTATGCTCTGACCGTCGTAGAAGATAATAAACGGTGCCCTCTCCGCTGCATCGAGCAGTGGATAGGGATTTGGATGTTGCTGCTCAATCCCTCCCTTCTTCTTAGTCCCCCTCTTGCGCTTTTTCACCCTTATCGTCCCGTTCCAACTTCACTATTCTCCCCTCTTGTTTTACCCTCCTCAATTATTGGTCCTCCCCCACCTTGCTTTGATAGAAGTTTACCTTCTAGTTCCAACCCGCATGCAAGTGCGGAGCGTCACCCCTGCCCTGTCGACAAGCCCATGTCCAACCAAACGGTCAAACCCTGTTCATCGGCTTCCATTTGAAGCCCTCGATCTTGTCTCGGATTGGCATGCCTCAATGCATGCACATTGTTACGGATCGCTCAACAGATAGTATTTACCCGAACTTTAGATACCCTCTCGATCGATATCTGCTTCTCGGAGACCCGACTGCTTAGTGATCGCTTTGCGATCCCCTTCAGAGGACATCAGCAGTGCTTTCTCGTTGTGGCTTTCCGGAGACGAGCCAGCTTCGAGTGCCGGCGAAGCCGGTACTGGTATTGCCCTGAGTCCCCGGACTGAAGCTGCTCTGGTTGATTAGATCCCAATCAGTAGCCGGATGTGTGCGGTCCGATTGGCTGGCTCGTTTAAGCTTCGAAATCGCGCGAGACTAATAGGTTTCTATACGTCCTCGCTGCCTACGCACCCATCAACTCTAGCGATAATTCGGCAAAAGACCACTTCTATCATCAACTGAACCACCTGCTTCCCCAATGTTTGCTGGGAATCTGAATACTCAAGTTGGACAGTTGTCAACTGATGAACTGCGTCTGGGCAATCAGCACGGCGTAGGCCCCCGTAATGATAACGGTGAGCGGTTACTTCATATGTGTGAAGATGCGCACTTAGTACTTGCGAGAACTAGCTCCCGACACAGCACCCGCCGAAGGGTGACGTGGCGCTTTACACCAGCCTTAGACTCAAATCGATCACGTTGCGACCCGTTTCCACTGAAGAGGCTGCGTTTAGAATTGTTGCTCGATTTGGCGCACATGTGTGAACACTGACCATGCAATTGTAGCTGCTCATCTGTTGGTGCGTTTTTTGACGGACACCCGCGATGACGCTGTGAGCGCATTGACACTAGCCAACTGGCGAAGCCAGATGTTCTAAATGCGTACCGAAGTACGCTGGCGTTCGAGTTGTGCAAGTGCTCAGGGGAAACAATTGTAGATCACTAGTCGCATGTTCACCAGACTTCAGTTGCAACAGGTAACTCCTCGTATGGTAAGTTTAATAGGCAACATGGAAATTAAGTCCGTTCGCGGTCTCTGGAACTTATCGATGCTCGATGAGACTCGCAAAGAGCTCTGGGCGAAACTCCGTGCTAGCCTGAAGTGAGACCGCGAATCTTGTTGGTCTCATCGTGCGTTGGAGATGAAATTGGGCACTGCCATTGGTAACTATCATATGTTATTCCGTCTGATACGGGAAACGGGCAGAAAGTGACCTGGTGTTAGTGAAACTATACGTGACGAGAGTGGACAGCCGAGATATAACTTGCCAAAACGCTTGGAGCGTTCGACTGAGCACTTTGAAAGGCAATTTAATCGGTCGGAATTGTTTGATTCCTTGCCGGCTGCTGATCACCCCGCTCCCTGGGTTGTCCCTTTGGATCCACCCTCTCGCTCAGAAGTCGAACGTGAGATCGGACTGTTGAAGTTAAATAAAGCCGCGGAACCAGATGGTCTTCCTCCAGTCCTCTTCAAATTTGGGTGCCCTGCTCTCGTGGATGAGTTACACTAGTTATTAGTGAAACTGTTACAACCTGAAGCTGTCACGATAGACTGGATCCACCTCGTTATAGTCCTAATTTTCAAGGGAGGCTCACAATCAGAATGCGGTAATCATAGAGGAATCATTCTGTTCTCCATCGCCTCAAAATTGCTTGCTTCTGTCATCCTTCACAGACTGACTGACACTCGTGAAAGCCAGCTTCGTAAGGAGCAAGCCAGGTTTCGTCGAGATCGAGATTGCATCGATCACATATTCACTTTGCGTCAGGTGTTGGAGCAGCGTCGCATATATTGGCTGCCCACCGTTGACATGTTCCTCGATATCAACTATGCCTTCGCTTCGGTGGATTAATATCCCCTTTGGAACTGTCTTCTCAGGAAAGGTGTGCCCGAGAAATATGTAAATATTCTCCGAGCATTATACGCGCGTAACTCGGTCAGTGTGGGGGCTTACAGTAGGCTGTCGCTGCCCTACAATATCTCCATATGTGTGAGACAAGGATGTCCGCTGTCACTTTTCCTCTTCAACTTCTCTATTGACGAAGTCATGGAGATTACATTTACAGGACACGACTTAGAAGGTGTGAAGCTACTTCCAGGAGAACGACTTCTTGAGTCGGTGTATGCAGACGACATTGCCCTCATCTGTGACAGCTCCCAGACATGCCAAGCGGCACTGGACAGATTACCACT